TAGGTCGCTGGAAGAAAGAATGGGTGGGTCTTATTTTGGGAGGAAAGTTTTTTCATGTTAGTTGGTGTTTCGAGGACGTTGTAAAGGGGGATCGTCTGCCTCTCGTTGGGAAAGAAAGATCGTATTTCCTTTGCGGTTTTTCTACACATGTGCTAATCCTCTCCCCCGCCCTGTGCTCGCAGTTCGATGAGGAGGGAACTACGAGGTCGGGGTCATACCAACTAACTAAAAAAGGGAGGGGGATAGTACGAACTGGACTAGAATCCCCATAATGATGTGCCCTGCAAAGCTAGACTAATGTGTAGCACCAGCCACGCTTGGTACTACATTACATTATATTTTTCATTAAATGCACACTTTACTTTATGATATTCTTTATAACTGATCAGAACAACCTGGACTATGAAATACCGAATGTTTAACAGCTCACGGTAGATCTAGGGACCAGACTGTATTTCTCGCTTGTTAATAACGAGCGAGAAATACAGTCTAGTTTCTTCGGATGCAACTGCGTGTCTACCCACGTTGGCGAGCGGTCCGACTGCTGTCTGTCGGTAATGGCTACCTCAGCGTTCTCATCGACTCTGCACTGATATATGCGCTGGAATAATTACGGCTTTTAGAAGACGAAAACAACAGAAATCGGCCAATTGAGCGCGTCAGCCATTATCAATCGACGAGAGTCCAGACGGAAGGGTTCAGTATTAGGTTTATGCATATGCTTTCAACTCCGACTTTTTGTAAATATCTCAATAGCGAACCAGCCTGAAGATTAGAGGTATGCACCATCACCATCCACTACTCGACGCCAACGCTCAGGCAGCTTGTCGATTCCATCGTCCCAGAAGGACGGGGGCTGGGACCCGAAGAAGGCCACAATGCCGCACAATCACCACTGTGACATGATTTCACAGTGGTAATTGTGCGGCATTGTGGCCTGCAAATGGTGGGTGAGTGATAGCTAGTGTGATGAAAGAGGGGTGTGTAGCAACAGAATCGTCCGGTGCAGCTGGTGGGCGTGGCCTGCGACATACTTGCGGCGAGAAGACGAAGCGTGCTTCTGGCGGTTTGAATAGGGTTATTGAAGGGAAGGTAAATATTGATATCACCCAGGATCGAGTCTTGTGTTCAGTTACGGTTAAGTTTTCAGTTAGAGTATGAAAAAGTTCAATAGAGCACGAAATTCATTGGGGTCTTCCGTCGAAATTCATTGGGGTCTTTAACATTGCTCTGGTTTGTCATCTTTATATAGCAGCTCACAGAAAAACTTGGCCATCCGTCTATTATATTGACGCTGGCGACTGCGCAAATCATGTGAACCACATAAACATAGGGAGAATCACGGCCTTATCTGATTTCTTTTGTATCTGTTTATTTCCTGAAGTTGCGTTTATGGAACCGCCAAACAATTGTGTGTTACTATCAAGAAAAACATCATTAGATTTTCAATCATTGATGAAACCTGCTATGTTGCGGATGTACGCTGTAGTAAATCATTTGCTCCAGTCGCAAAGCTATCGGCTAGCAAATGCACGTAAGTGAGCTGCTGAGTCATTCGCCGCGCGACGCGCCGCGTGCCGCGGGCGCTGCCCCGGACGATTCTGTTGCGCGTCTCCCGATGAAGAGTATCATGTGCACGTCACGCACACGTGATGACGAAATACCAACATCCATGCAAACGAAATACGGAAGGATCAATTTACAAAAAAGTCGGGGTTAAAAACATATGCATCAACCTAATAGATACCGCGCCGGCATGAGGCTCACCGCAGAGTCGATGTCGGAGAACGCAGTGATGATCACCAGTCCAGACCCCTGCTATCCCACCGACACGCAGCACGGTTCGCCAACGTGACATAAGAACGCTCCTCAATCCGGACAGAACCAAACCGTAATTGATTATTTAACACTTGAGCCTCGAAACGCAAGGAACAGTTGTTGCAGTGAACAGCACCCTGCTCGCCCTTCCCTGTAAGTCGTTTGTTACCGAGCAAAGCAACAAACTTATGAAATTTTATCGTTAATCTAAGCAATAGAAGACTGTTGCGAGGATTTCGTTTTCATAACATGACACCAACACCTATGTTTAGAATAAACAAGGCGCGAAAGAAAGTATTATCAACCGAACTGAAAATGCTTTCCTTTGAAATGTTGAACTAGCAAGCTTCGTCATTCCAACGAAATAATAGGACCTCGGTAGTTTGTAATATAAACATAAGGCGAAAAGGTGCACGCTAAACAATCACCTCAAATATAGATCCGTAGACATTGATAGACATACCGTTTAAATATGGTAAAGGCAATGAAAAAACTCCTGGATATTCGAAAAAATGCGCAGAAAACAATAAATAACTAATAGAAGTTGTTGTGCTCGAGCGTTCTTCTTTTGGAGGATACAATCCTGGCAGCAGGACAAGGCTTGGGAGCAGTGTATTTGAAATCGTCCCTCGTTTGTGAAACACCTGCGAAACGATAGGGCTCTTGCTGAAAAGGTTGGAAGCTGTCCTGAGGGCGAATAATTAGAGAGCGTTCACCAGTTCCTCCCTTGAACGATTCTCTGAAACACTGACGACGGTGAAGACAGCATCAACGGTGAGCATAAACTAGTGTGTTACCTGTTTATTGTGCTCCCATCCAGAGGATCGGTGTTCCTGTCAATCTGATCTTTTGGACGAGCCAACGTGAATCGTTCACCAGTGCCGCCTTTGTACGATTCCCTATACGATCGTGATGGAAAAGTGCATAGCCAATTCAAATTGACCGCCCTTACCTGTTCACCGTGCTTCCTTCTAGTGGCTCAGAATTCAAAGGAATTTGATCCTTTGGACGAGTCATCGAGAAGCGCTCACCAGTTCCTCCCTTGAACGATTCTCTGAAACACTGACGACGGTGAAGACAGCATCAACGGTGAGCATAAACTAGTGTGCTACCTGTTTATTGTGCTCCCATCCAGAGGATCGGTGTTCCTGTCAATCTGATCTTTTGGACGAGCCAACGTGAATCGTTCACCAGTTCCTCCCTTGAACGATTCTCTGAAACACTGACGACGGTGAAGACAGCATCAAAGGTGAGCATAAACTAGTGTGCTACCTGTTTATTGTGCTCCCATCCAGAGGATCGGTGTTCCTGTCAATCTGATCTTTTGGACGAGCCAACGTGAATCGTTCACCAGTTCCTCCCTTGAACGATTCTCTGAAACACTGACCGCTGTGAAGACAGCATCAACGGTGAGCATAAGCTAGTGTGCTACCTGTTTATTGTGCTCCCATCCAGAGGATCGGTGTTCCTGTCAATCTGATCTTT